ATTGGACTAATTTAACTAAATGATTTATTTGGATTTTTCTCTTTTATTGAAATTCTAATGTAGGCAATTACTTTAAGTATCATCACACGGGATTCAATCTTTAATTTGCTGTAATTATCAGTGTTGTAAAAATAAATAGATTTGTAATCTTAAGAACTTAAGCTTAAATTCTCTGAAGAAAGTTTTTTATTCCACATTCCAATCAATAAATTATAAGAGAAACATCATCTGAGACCACATCAATCATAGTCGACGTCTTTAAAGAAAGCTATAAAGTTTTGCCAAATTAGAATTCCAAAAACAGATTCTCAACCAGAAGCCAAAGACCAACAATGTTTACCGTTTCGTTTAAGAAAACTTTTGAAATATTCACAGCAATATTTCTAAAAGTTATCAGTCTCTATTTCATTGGTCAGTTTATAGGTCTGATACATCCGGGATTCTCACAGTGCTTCGACCCAAAAACTTTGATCATTGACAATTTCGAGAATTTCTTATTCCCGTGTTTTAGGCTATTGACCGATGCTGGTATCGGGCAGTGTATGATGGTTTGTTACAAGTTTAAATTGATTGTTTAGAACTCGCGAAATTATTACTTTATGCGTGATTGCTTAAAACAGAAATGCTAGAAAGGGAAATATTTCCATTACTTACATTCTTTATAAAACATTAAAAAGGAAAAAAAAATATTTACAAATATGATTTGATTATTTTAATTATTTAATTAAAACTAGATATTTTTTAAGGATTTCACGCAATGCATTAAATAAATTTTGTTTTTCCACCCTCACAATTTTTATGCTTCAAAGTACATAAACCGGTCACGGTAGCCTAGTGGTAGAGCGTTCGCTTCGCGATCGGGAGGCCCGGGTTCGATTCTCGTTCGCGGCGCCGCGTCATACCTAAGACGTAAACAAAGGTAGTGACTGTTCCTTCGCCAAGCGGTCGGCACTAGAAGTGAAAGTCACGGGTCTTTCGGATATGACGTTAAAAACGTAGGTCCCGTGTCAGGGTAGGTGCTGGCACGATAAAGAACCCTCACTGCTCAATGGCCCTGAGTGCCGAATATAGGTCTAAATTTGAAGCCTTTCACCGGCATACGGTGACGTCTCCATATGAGTGAAAAATTCTCAAGAGGGACGTTAAACAATATACAATCAATCAATCAATCAAAGTACAAAAACTGCATTTATTTTCGTTTCAAATAACTTCAACACATTAATCATTGCAAAAAAATGTATAGGTCGCCATATTATTTATTTATCTATTTATAAACAGAAGTGTATGTTAACATAAAAAATACACATTGTTTGTAAATATTATGATCAAAATTATGCAAAACTGGTTCAAATGCATAATTCTGATGCTGAGAGTCCCGATATACTTGCTACTTCTAAGATAATTATGAATTGTGAATACCAGGGAAACTATTTTACATAACAAGTACAATAAAGAAAATGCTTAATGAAGATAACCTTAGAAGGTTGCTCTTGTAAACATTTTTAAAAAATTGAATAATTGGTTGAAAAAAAAAACGCTTTTTTTTTTACTTAACAATATTTATCATTACACCCATTTACAAAAAATAATCATTTTATAAAAATCATTGTCTACTGGGCATGAATTTGAATGTCATAACAGGTTTTGCAAACACTTACATCATAGGAGGATTGATTGATTGATTGTATATTGTTTAACGTCCCTCTCGAGAATTTTTCACTCATATGGAGACGCCACCGTATGCCGGTGAAGGGCTTCAAATTTTGTCCTTTACTCGGCACTCAGGGCCATTGAGCAGGAAGGGATCTTTTTCGTGCCAGCACCTACTGCGACACGGGACCGGTCTCCACGTCCCGCAGTGGGATTCGAACCCGCGACTTAAGGATTGACTCTTTACTTTGCGACTCTAGAGCAGACGCTCTAACCACTGCGCCACGCGGGCGACCATCATAGGAGGAAGGATATAACTTAAATCAATATTATGTTTTAACCATTGAACAAGTCTCAGATCACGTGAGGCCTCGTTAATCATAAATAGACAGATCCTAAGGACTACTATGCATTACAGAAATGAAGACAGTAGAAGCAGATCATTGTCCATTGGCGGATCCAGAGGGGGGGGGTTCCGGGGGTTGGAACCCCCCCTTTATTTTTTCCAAGTGGAGAGAGAGAGAGAGAGAGAGAGAGAGAGAGAGAGAGAGAGGCGGATGAAACGTTTTCCAAGAATAAGATATTTGTACGTCTAACGCATGTATTGAAATTGATAGATTTTCAACAATTTTGTAAGTTTCTTCCATTCACCTTCACTATTCCTTTTTTATGAGAGAATGGTAGAAAATATTCTACTTATTTTTATATATCTTATATATAATATGTATCATGCGAAGTTTAATTTGATATTAGACTCCCGCGATCTTTGTCTGTTGGTGCGTTATGTACCGTTTTTGATAATATCTTTTGAAGGAACTGAGATGAAACTCTTTGATTTTAGCCCAAACTCGCACCCCACCCTCAAAAAGTTTTTTTTCAAATTCTAAAAAAAAATTCTTTGTACTCTTCGGAAAGGCTACAAATCCATTTAATTTTAAGGCTTCAGTAGTTTTTGAAATGAGGAAAAAAGGGACATAAAACAGATATTATTTACCACAACCTTAGATCTGTCCATACGTGTGTGTGAACCTTTGTTTGAGAGTGTGTAAAGGGGGGGGCTAGAGGAACGCAACCCTGGAACCCCCCCCCCCCTTTCAAAAATTGCTGGATCCGCCCCTGTTGTCTTTGTATAACCCTTCGCTAAATTTGATAAACATATATTAATTAAAAAAAAAACGCTTGTAAGTCTCAAAATTATCAGTCTCTACGGCTTTGGACTAATTTTAGTTTTTTTACAGACTTGCAACTTTCAGTGCTTCGACCCATTCGATCCAAAAACGTTACTCATTAGCAATCATGAAGATTCCTCATTCCGTAGTTTTAAGCTTTTGAACAATGCTGACATTGCAACATGCATGATGATTTGTTTCAAGTTTAATTTGTGTCGCTCAGTGGATTGGATAAAGAACGAAAATATATGTCGGCTTAACACAAAATTTGGAAACAAGAATAACAGCAGTCTAATGACTGAAGGCCCAACCTTTCATTTCGAACGAGAAAATTTCCCATTGGTAAGAAAAATAGTATTAGCTTGAAACATTTAAAAAAGAATAAATTGAATCACATTTTGAAGGAATTGTAACTCTTAGTTGATTTAACTTCAGCACTTGACAGGCATTTGTCTGAATCATGCCTGTACTGAGGAAGAAATCTGCATCGCTGGTCGATGTGTTACTGTTTTAAAAGGTTAGATTTAAAATTTAATTTATTGTCGAAAATTTCTTTTAAATCTTGTGAACTTAAATACACTTTTCTGGTCTAGAAGACAATATATATCATTTTTTATTTCAAAATGCTTGATAAAGATTTTAATCTTCCTGTTTCTGTTATTTGTTTGGATGATAATTAAGTAATGAGTGTTTTTCTGTCAGTTTTTTTTCTGTCATATAATAACACTTAGTTGCTTAACAAGTTTGTTTAATACATAAGATGAAATGATAAAATTGAACAATTAGTATAAAACATCAGGCAGTATTTGATTCAGTGATCAATGGCATATGCTAACAAGGTCATTGTTTCGCCCATAGAACTTCCGAAATGATGACTTAAACGAGACTGCTGATATTCCTCTTTCATCAACTTGTTTTTCAATAACTTAGTTTGTTTTAGAAATCTTTCACATGTAGATATTGCTCTTCTTTATCGAATCAAATGAAAGATATAAATCCGCAGGTTTTAATGGCGTATTGCTGCATACGAAAGGGAAGTTGACGATTGAAAAGCCGAAGTCTTCACGTTTATCTGATACATGGGTTCCAATAAATGTTCTACCAAGCCTCTGTCCTTATTCCGCACTAAAATATGAACAGCAGTGAAGGAGAAACTTTCGATGCACTGTTCATCAATATAAAATTCCAACTTTCAACTTTATATACAGCCATTCCCCACGGTGAATTAAAGGCTTTTTTACACCATTGACTGCAGTTTTCTTTTTTATAAAAAGGGGATTTGCAAATTTATTTATCGTGTCAATAGTCATTTGAAAAATCATTTGATGAAAAACCTTTTCAATTGTAAACTTTAATACTCCAAATTGATATTAAAAAGAATCTCGAGTTTCCCATTGACAACATTAATGTTTTTTAGAACATGTTTTTTAGAACATGTCTTCCAACATTCTATTGGATTTCCCATGGGTGCCAATTGCATGAAGTTATAAGCAGAGTCATTTTTGTTTTTATATGAAGCAAAACTGATTGAAAATCCCATACATGAAAAGAACCCATTTGCTATGACCTTCAAATCGACATTTAGCTATATCCACGACATATTATCAATACAAAACAGCAATTTCTACACAAAATATTCTAGTAAGCTCGGAATTAAAGAATCCACAGAGTCTCACAAGTCTCTTTATGGCTACCTAACATCAAAAACCTGTTGATGAATATGATGACTTCTACGTACTGTCTTTCTCTTTCTCTTAGCAATATACGCATGTCACCTGCATATTGAGTATATAATAATGTAAGGTCTCGCAGTTGATTCACTACGCAGGAGCATGCTCTACATACAAAAAATTACTTTAACAAGACAAGCACTAGACAAAGAAGTTGATAAAGCAAGTCTTGCTTGAATTCAACAATTCGCAGGTTTTATAGTCGATGCAGTGACCTTGTCAGCAAATACAACCTATCATTAAGTCAAATACAATCACTCTTGACATGACCAAACAACGCGTTTTGTTTATTCAACAAGTTTTTAATCTATTTAAATTTAAAGACTAGTTGATATTCATGTAAATCTATTATGAAATTCTCATAAATACTTTGCAAATGGTAATCATTGTAAGCTTTGTTAATACTAGTATCAAGGTATTTATTCTGATAAATGAATTTTTTTTACACTGAATGGAAAAATTGTATAAAGACTGTTCAGATATTGTGAAAAGAGACCCAAGCAAGAGAGGACAAAATGGGGTGTACTTTATTTACACTGACACCCGGAAAGAAGTCTTCTGTGACATGACGACAGATGGAGGAGGTTGGACGGTGAGTAGTAATTTCATTTTTCAATAATTACCTAATACACAATAAAATTTCCTTTTCTTAGCTATTTCAACTCTACCTGTAGAAATTTAAGACAGGTGCTGGTCTTTTAGGTTGTCATGAGAACAAAAAAGATATTGTATCTCTTCCTGGCTGGGACCTGTTAACTGCCTTGCGAAATAAGCACCTAAATATGGAATTGCAATCGATAGACCACCTCCTTTCTTGATAAAAAGCACTTGCTAAATATGCAGGCACGATAAAGGTTTCTCAGAGAATATCGCAGTGTACTCTGTACATGAACTACAAATGCATGACATAAAGATTGAATTCTACATCACGTCATTGCAAACTCAAGCTTTTATGATGGGGAGAGTGTCATAAACTTTACACCTTAGTTCAATCTGCATGTAAAATGTCAGAAAGTCAGTGTAAAATAAACGTGTCTTAATCCTTTTTTTTTAAATCTAATATATACGAATAATTTTGAAAACTTTGATTCATTTCTCTTGTTTAACAGTCAGCGTCTTTAAAGGCAGATATTTTTAGCACCGCCTTCAAATATACCTGGTCTTGGTAACCCTGTCAATCAAGTGCATGAAGGTCTATCATTGGATGCTGGAGCTTGATTGACATTTACTTACTGGTCCCTGTGTATACCCTGTACACCTTCTTTGGGACTCATGGTGAACTTCTAATTAACGTTTGATCCTTTGATGTTTACCAATTAGGGTATACAGTAACTGTACATGTATTACTATGAAAATTTTTAAAATGACCGATAATATATGAATTAAATATATCTTTTGTATTTGAAAGAATTAGAATAATATAATATGCATTTTTTTAAATTAACCTTTGGTACATAAAACTTTTATTTTCAAATAATTAATATATTAATTTTACTATGCTGAAGGGGTAAACCTTAAGTCTAAATGTTATTCAGATAAAATTCAGAGCAGCTGTGTGAAGCTAATATTTTCTTTTTTTTATTCAGACAAGAATTTAATCTTTTATAGTATGTTTTCAAACAGTCAAAATTAAATCAATATATGATTGAAAAACCTTTTTACTCTTAATTTTAAAATTGTCTCAAAATCCCCAACACAGGTACAGTTTGAAACCTTGGGTATTTCACTGTGTATTAAATCACTTCCTGTGTACAGGGATTAGGAGACATATGATCACAGGTAAACTGCTAGCCCCAAGGCATTCACACCTGTACAAAGAAAGCCCCTCCCTCACCTGGAATTTACCACCCGGTAAAAAAAATCTCTACCTTTAAAATACAGACGGATATATACATGTACGTTTGACATCTGGCCTTTTTATACCCTCGGATAGAAGCAGAATTCAAATAATGTGTATAAAAAGCCTGGCGCAGTTAATTAATGAAGATTAATTTGGGGATCCTTTGTGGAAATCTATATGAAGAGTTCCCCTCCTAACTGAATCTTGCTTGGGAAAAATGTATGGTAGCTTTGTTTTACGTGACAAAAAGTTTATAATAATTGTATTATTCACCTGCGCCGAAGCGATTTGTGTGAAACACTATCCTGGTCCCCTATCTCATCCTTACCTAGTGATGCGTAGTATATATATTAAGCAAAACAGGGACAGGGAACCAGGCTATGTGAAACATTTAACAAAATTAAAAATGGCCGTCACGTGATCAACAAGGTCATGTGTAATCGTAACAAATATGTTCATGTATAGCCAAGATAACTCTCTATATGGATTGGCTGTACTTAAGTACATAACTTTAAAAAATACTCAAAATCGACCTTTGCAACGCAGTGTTACGTTTTAAACGCATTGAAAGCTATGAGAAGCCTTAACATTACAGCGTATTAAGGGATAAACCCTTGTATAACAAAAGGCGGTTGCATTTTGGACTGCAATTCAGATTTTTTTTTCTGTACTCGCAGGCAGAGAGAAATTAAAGAAACGACCCACAAGTTTTTGAAGTCTCAAGTTTTCGATTTGGAATTTGTTATTAAAACCTTTAACTTGTGTATATAATTACAATGATAAATTCTTAAACAATTCTATATTACACGATTTTGTCCCATATCACCTCTATATCACCAAATAGTAAATAGTAACTTATATTCTCGCTCGAATTTACAGGTAAATAAGAAAATATTACAAAGCTATTTGAATCAGATGCAATATAACAAAACATATAGCATTGTTTACAGGTCATTCAGAAACGTCACGATGGTGACGTCAATTTTTACAGGACATGGATAGAGTATAAACACGGATTTGGGAATGCCTCTAAGAACTATTGGATAGGTATGATCTTATGCAGAAATACATGTATTATAAAACTTCATTAATTTGAATCTCGTAATAAAAGGAGAATATACATGTATTCATGTACAGTTTCCCTGACAAGTTCAATATTGTCAACAAAGTTATGAAGGAACAATTTATACGATATCGTGTTAACACCTTATTCTCTGTCGACATTAGAACATTTAAATCTATGGACCATAAATTTGAAATTTTATTTTTATCTTTGTCAAGATAACTGACATTGCAATTTCTACAATGTTAATGTCAGAGAACACGTTTCTCAAATATTTATAATTTTCCCAAAGAATCTGCCTTTGAAGTATTGCTCCTTAAACAAGTTTCCTCACAAAAAATTGAGGAACCTTACCAGACTTGGGCAAGATACCACATTTTTAATATAATTCTAATTTTAATTATATTTTATTTAATTATATAATTCTAATTTTAATTTTATTTCCAATATAATCCTTATGGGTAATATTTTGAATCGCCAATGGCATGTTCTTAGAGTTTTTAGCCAAAGGTCTCTGTCGAGACTGTAGCTCTACTGCTTTGTACTTATTACAAGGAAAAGTTGCACTTGAACTTGAAACATTGGAACAGCAAATTATAAAATAATGATCTTTGATTAAGTATCTCTTTGTGGCAAAATAGCAATCAGATTAAAACTGTTAGGATGAGTAGCATTTTCGTAGAACATTACAGAAATTTTGATTTTAGTTACCATGGCAACATTAAAATAAAAAGAAACTGTTAAAGATAGTATGTTTCTAAGTGGAGTCTACTTGAACTCAGCATGGCCTCATTATATTAAAATAAGACAAGTCTGTAGGAGGAGTAGAATTCTTCAAGTATTTACAGAAATTTCAATATTAGTAACCATCTGATGTGCTGGTAGTTAAATATATATATATATATATATATATATATATATATATATATATATATATATATATATATATATATATATATATATATATATATATATATATTATAAAAGAAAAAGAAAATGAAGTTTCCAAATTTCATTTAACACAAGCGCTTTCTGGATCTCATAATCCGTCTTCAGGTGTACATAAATTGAACTGATTGTTTTGCTTAGTAACGTTAACTATGACGTCATGACATCATGAGAGTCTTTGCAGGGAAGGAAGTAATCTATGACGTCATAGTATGGCTACGTTACGTAAAAGTTAGGGAAAATCAAATTGGACAATAATGGACAATACATCACATATTTTTCAGTCTCAATAAACAAAGTAAACAGAAATTCTAATTGATGATATATAAAATTAGGTAATTTCTCAATGTTAATGTTTGTTCAGTTTTGGTGAAAAAAGATTTATGAAGTAGTTTTCTTTTGCTAATCTCATTGCAGTGGAATCGTTCCTAAGTTTATAAAAGGGGAACACACAGTAGTTTCCTTGTGAGCAAATATCGAAATGTTCACTGCATGGCGTGTTTCTTAGGCTCGGATTGTTAATTTGTTGGCGATGTACGCGCATGCGGGCGGTTAATTGGGTCCCGGTCTGGCCGATGTATTCCTCTCCGCAGTTGTTACACGTAATACAATAAAGGAGGTTTTTGCTCTTACAGGTCATATTTTCATTCACAAGAAATGTTTTTCCACACTTGAAAATAATAGAGGATCCTGTTCGTAGGTTAGGACAGGTACCGCATCTCGGATCACCGCATCTTGTTACGGAATATTGTTCTGGAGTGGTGTTGAATTTAGCTCTGGTCAATAGTCTTTTTAAATTTGGCGGTTGTCTTTGGCTGCGAATCAAATCCGATTTTGGTATAAGTTGATGAAGATCATTATCCCGTTCAATGATGGTAAAATTCTTTCTTGCCTCTTGAAATATATTAATGTGTTTCGGAATGAATGTTGTTACAAAAGGGATTAAGAATGGATCTTTTTCCTTTTTTCTGGTTGTTCTTAAAATATGCTGCGGAATTTTCTTGGATTCTTCTATGGCAGAAAGGATAAGATTTTCTGGATAATGTTGTGCTAGAAGAAATGTTTTTAGTTCGGTCAACCTTTGATTTCTAGTTTCTGTATCTTTCACAATCATACAAATCCTTCTGGCTAAGTTGTAAGGGATATTTCTTTTGGTGTGAGTAGGATGGCACGAAGTGAAGTTTAGATACGCACCAATATCTAAACTTCACTTCGTGCCATCCTACTCACACCAAAAGAAATATCCCTTACAACTTAGCCAGAAGGATTTGTATGACTGTGAAAGATACAGAAACTAGAAATCAAAGGTTGACCGAACTAAAAACATTTCTTCTAGCACAACATTATCCAGAAAATCTTATCCTTTCTGCCGTAGAAGAATCCAAGAAAATTCCGCAGCATATTTTAAGAACAACCAGAAAAAAGGACAAAGATCCATTCTTAATCCCTTTTGTAACAACATTCAATCCGAAACACATTAATATATTTCAAGAGGCAAGAAAGAATTTTACCATCATTGAACGGGATAATGATCTTCATCAACTTATACCAAAATCGGATTTGATTCGCAGCCAAAGACAACCGCCAAATTTAAAAAGACTATTGACCAGAGCTAAATTCAACACCACTCCAGAACAATATTCCGTAACAAGATGCGGTGATCCGAGATGCGGTACCTGTCCTAACCTACGAACAGGATCCTCTATTATTTTCAAGTGTGGAAAAACATTTCTTGTGAATGAAAATATGACCTGTAAGAGCAAAAACCTCCTTTATTGTATTACGTGTAACAACTGCGGAGAGGAATACATCGGCCAGACCGGGACCCAATTAACCGCCCGCATGCGCGTACATCGCCAACAAATTAACAATCCGAGCCTAAGAAACACGCCATGCAGTGAACATTTCGATATTTGCTCACAAGGAAACTACTGTGTGTTCCCCTTTTATAAACTTAGGAACGATTCCACTGCAATGAGATTAGCAAAAGAAAACTACTTCATAAATCTTTTTTCACCAAAACTGAACAAACATTAACATTGAGAAATTACCTAATTTTATATATCATCAATTAGAATTTCTGTTTACTTTGTTTATTGAGACTGAAAAATATGTGATGTATTGTCCATTATTGTCCAATTTGATTTTCCCTAACTTTTACGTAACGTAGCCATACTATGACGTCATAGATTACTTCCTTCCCTGCAAAGACTCTCATGATGTCATGACGTCATAGTTAACGTTACTAAGCAAAACAATCAGTTCAATTTATGTACACCTGAAGACGGATTATGAGATCCAGAAAGCGCTTGTGTTAAATGAAATTTGGAAACTTCATTTTCTTTTTCTTTTATAATTTTTTTCACCTGTGTGAAATCGACTGTGAACTATTTTCAACTATATATATATATATATATATATATATATATATATATATATATATATATATATATATATATATATATATATTCTTACAGAATAGTGTCTTTACATCAGTCTTGTGTTAAACATTCCAGTTTCTACACCTTTCATCGAACTAATTGATAACTATTAAAAATTTTGATGATACAGGTTGTTAAATTTTTTGAACATATAAATTGTAAAATAAAAATGTTTATGTCATTTTCATTGCGTAAGAAAGGTGATAGGCATTTAAGGGGGCCGACTATAGTTTCCATTGCGCAATATTTCGCGCATCATAGTAAAATGAGGCGTATTTATTGTTTTAATGCAACTTTTTTCGCTTAATTATTAAAAAATTAAACAAAATTAAGAAATTATAGGTATAAAAATGTAATTACGATTTGATATAACTGATTATTTAACCGATTTTGCCATTGATAGGTAGGTTGACGTCGCTGCAGTGTCTTTTTGATGTTATGTTAATCTGTAGCTCTTAAAGAAAGGGGTAATAAAAATATTATTAAAGAAAAAGTAATAAACATACACTCTTAAAATTTAAAACAAAGAAATTTTAGAACATCTCCAACATTTTTTATTATGTTTTCAGGTGAATCAATTATGTTTGTCATATTTTGTAGTACTCTATAAAAATAGTAAAATATGCTAATTTTTTGCATTTTGAGATGCCCCCTCTGTTAACAAGACGGTAGAACTTTGTGTTTCTTACATATATTGTATAATATAGTATTACTCATAAAATATTATAGTTTGAACAAAATGTCTATTGTAGTATTTGTATAATTAGCTTTAGAGTGCTAAAAAATGGCATTTTCCTATATAATCCTATAGTAAATGTACCTGTATTTTGAGACGATCCCTAAAAAATACCTGGACGGTAGATTTCCCCCAAACTTTGCATGTTAACTGAAGTTAATGTAAGTTACATATGGTATAAAAATGAAGAGTTTCACTATTGTAGTTTTTACACAATAAAACTATAGTCGGCCCCCTTAATTTACAATATGTGTTATAACATCAAACAAGAAAGTAAATACTAGTCACAATATGGTAGATAATTATGAAAAATTGAAACATTTCAGCTTCCCTATCCCCTCTAATTGATTGATCAACAATATATTACAAATCTCTCTAGTACTACAATATTTGTCTACAAGTCAACGAAGCACATTATGTGTTACATGAATAGAAAAAACAATTTTGAAGAAATATGTGCCATAAAGTAATATGCCTGTCTTTCCCCTTTTTTAAGGAAATGACGCAATCTATGAGTTGACAAAGAACAAAGGCCAGGAACTCCGGGTTGAGCTACAAAGATTTAATGGTGACAAAGTATTCGCCCAGTACTCCACATTTTATGTTGGGAACGAAGACAGTAAATACGTACTTCCAGTGTCGGGGTATTCAGGAACCGCAGGTAGATTTACTCATAACAATGATGCAATATATATTGTTCAGTCATCACCAGGGATTGAAATATCAGTTTGTAATTTAGATCGGATTATTTTGACTGGATAGAAAAATTGATTTATATAATTTAGAGTTTGTTGCTTACGTCACAATTTGACATACATTAAGAAAGTTTTGCTTGATGTCACATTTTCATTTCGTTTTTTATAAAGACATTTTTGAATGGATATTACCTTAATATTTACACTTTAAAATGATAAAAAATTATATTATGAAGAAAAATTTAAATAACAACGCAAGTTATACTTGTAAAAAAATGAATTGCAATATTTTAATCTCTTTAAAAAAAAAAACTTTCTTTAACGCGTTAACTGTCCCAATCAAACTTTCAAGGTTCTTTAACGCGTTAACTGTCCCAATCAAACTTTCAAGGTTATACAGTATAACGTGGGTAATTATTATTTCATTCCTTGAATATTTAGTATTGCAATGCTAATAAATGAAATAAGTATGTAGACTCATTTCGGTGTGATTACTTTTGTAATCATTAATTAAACAACATGCAGCAAAATGACTAAGCAAAAAAACCACTTAAAAGCACTTGTGATATCATCAATAATCAAGATAAATGATATAACGTACATACACATTCAAATTATATTTACTAATAACCTACAGTATACATGAGTCTAGGACAACAGTGATAACTGTGCAGGTTACGATGTTATGTTATTTTCTCATTGAATTATAGATTACAACGTTATATAAACTCTGTTGTAGGTGACAGTTTGGATTATCACAGTGGAATGCAATTTAGTACAAAGGATCAGGACAACGACAAATGGAGTACTGTTAACTGTGCTGAAAAGCGACGCGGAGCCTGGTGGTACAACAATTGTACCACCTCAAACCTTAACGGAGAGTACGGACAGTCTGGTGTGACTGGTAAAAGCTACCCGGTATGGTATGACTGGAAAGGAAAGGAAGCATTAAAACAGACTGTGATGATGATTAGACACAAAAACTAGAAATCATTTATTACCAGATCTCACATTACATTACCAATCCGATTTATTTTATTTTTGTGAAACGAATAGCAATGATATGTTGTTTTTGTATTTAAGTACAGATTCTTTAGACAATTAAAGTAAGTTCCTTCTTCTTAAATATTCACACCATTTAATTAGATTTTTAACAATCATATTTTCTTTCTATAAACGCATAAATGTTTTTTATAATCAAGATTACAGTTATAAGAAATAAAGAAACCTCAAAGGTGAAAGAGTGTGTGTATTTTAATTCTACACATCATATTTGCATAGAAAAATACCTTTTCACAGAACTGTCGTAGGGTCTGCCCTGAGATATTAAGATAAAACATTAATGATATTAATAAGATCTGTCACGACATTCATCAAAAATATAAAACAAACGTTATTTCCATGAATTCAGTTCCCACTACATTCAAATCTTAAATTCTGAAATACATTTCTAACTTAGGAGAAGAAAACGCAAAAGAAATCATAATTCAGCAATTTTTATTGCTAAAATAAGGAAACAAGTGGCATCAAAAGTTGATATCATTACATCCGGCGGGAGGGGGGGGGGGGGGAGGAAGTCTACACACCAGAGAAACCTGAGCATGAAAAGCAGTTAGATAATATTAAGAAGCAGAAGACATAAGAGGATACTACCGTAAATCTGGGAATTTTTACATCGATTTTACTTTGCATATCTGGGTCAAAATGCTGTTGATTATATTTTTTACGTTTCAAAATTTTGCGAATGACCACTACTTTGTTTACATCTTCTTATTGTTGAATTATTTTTAAGAAAAAAATTTTTCGAATGCAATGAACTTGCAAATTTGCTAAAAATGTATCTACAGTTTTACCTAATTTTCAAAATATTTAACTCTTCTAAAAGATTATCAGGCTACTGACTTGACCCCCCCCCCGGGGGGGGGGGGGCAAAATCAAAATACCAAAACCTTACTGCACATCTACATGACACCACTAACCATCTCCCAAAAGATGATTAGGCTGCTGAATAAAATGTAGAAGGAGTTCAAGGAAGTCGGGGCTTTTAGCATAAAAAAACCTCATTTTTCGACTCCAATTTGACCCCCCGGGGCAAAACCAAATACCGAAAACTTACTGCACTTCTACAGGTCGGAGAGAATGCTCGAAATCGGGTATTATCCGTGAAATCGCGTATAATACTCGATATTAGGGTATCGTTGAATCCGCGAAATCGGGTATAGGAGGTGTAATCACCTAATAAAACTTAAACAATGGGATGGCGCATGTTGCCGAGTTAACTTTCATCTAGATACACATGTTTTCTAAAGGTATCACTAGCCAGGTAAGAATTTGGACTTCAAGATTAATGCGCTCGGGACAACAAATACCCGTGGAGCTCAGTACATTTCATGATCTGCACACAAAAAGGCGTTCGATTTGCTTTATATTTTTCCTTATGTTGAAAGAATATGCATCTTCCTTATGTTCATTCCCAACACAACAGAATTGTAAAGTATCAGAATTCGGGAATTTATAATAATTCCACATCAACATGACAAACATGAACAATTGGTAAATATATCAAATTATACGGAAACACATTTCACACACCATATATAATGTCATGTATAAACAAGGGATTGTCTATAATCGTATCTAATTATGCGTCATTAAATAAATTACTTTCACATTCATCTTGTGCAAAAAATCAAATTTATTTATGAATGTATAAATAATGTAATGATAAAAATGTCTAAAATTTCGGCTAAAAGAACCTTTTTTCTCTTTTTTTTTGAAAATCTTTTCTATTTTATTTATCATTCAAACAAATTTTGCAGAATATGTATTCAACATTTTAGCAGAGACAGTGATAGTGTCAGTAATACAGCTTATGAGAGAACATAACTGTTGATCGTTTAACGCTAAGTCATAAATATTTTACCACTTCTTGGCGACTTCAAAGGGGGGCTAAAGACTTCTTGACCACCTCTGACAAAACAACCTCGACTGTGTTCTACATGTGTCCAAGAGACCTCTCTTTGAATGTCACGGTCGGTTAAACATATATTTTTAATCGTAGGGAAGATTTCTTCATCATATACATTGTAGGTAAACAAAAAGCAACCTGTTATTTTCTAAAACAATATAAGACTACAAGTAACTAGAATTCATGTTTTATTTTTTAAACACATTTTTTCATTATAGATTAGTATTAGGACAAGTTATTGCCATTAGTAATACGTATCATAGATAAAATAACTAAAAGAGAACTGTGACATATATCTAGAACCAATCAGATAGTGCGTTGTATTAGCATATTATAATGAGGTATAAGATAGCGATATAATAAAATATAGAAGGTAAAGAGGTAAAATTTACCCTGTCTATCAAATAGTATGATAAAGAAAGGAAGTGGCTACGATTTTTATGAAATTTTAATGTCCGATGAGAAGTTATATTCCCAAAAAGTAAGACAAGAATTTCCAAGGCGATTAAACACTCCTTTATCTCAGTTTGTTCATTAACATGTTCATAATCGTAAAAACTATAAGAAATATGGAAACTTGACTATGTAATTTATATTTCAATATGACTGTACCTCAATCTAATGTATTTTAACTTCATGAAAAGATGTAAACATTTTACTTTTATCTATACCCCCCCCCCAAAAAAAAAAAAAAGAAAATCCTGTTCATATGACTTCACGCTCTCAATTTTCACACAAATGCATAAAATAAAGTTAAACTAGTATTTTTTGTATCGATTAAAATGCAACCAAAAAATTTACGGTGTATTTGAATAAAAATTCATGCTAAATTGACATAAAAAAGAGATACTCACCTTGAATTATCTATTTTCAAACTGTTTTCTCGTGGGTATTTATTTCATCTTATTTTATTTTCTTCTTTATAATAACGTTGGTATTCTATTATTGCAGAGATATAAAATCATGACTCGCTTATACTGTACTCTCTAACTGTTAGGAGTAATTTATATTTCACGAGAAATGGACGCCATACATTTTTCAGTAAAAATACATAACACGGCGTTAGTCGTTTAATTTCTTTATTTCACGTTTTGTGAATAGTGCTTAAATTAGAAAATTAAGTTTATGGAATGCTTTAATGGGAAATAAAGACAAACGAAGTGTAGTTGTTTGTTTTTAGAAATTACATTGAAAAATAATAACGCCATTGTGTCCTCTTTGTTACCCCTGCAGTGTTTGTCGCGTGATTTTAAACTTATTTGAGAACCTTATGAATTAGGTTTAATAAAAATAAATCACAAAATACTGATGTACAAGTAACAGTTACTGGCATAATGCGCCGTTGCTTTATTCTTTAGTTTTTATAGAAAGTTGCACGGAATACCCGATTTCGCGGATTCAACGATACCCTAATATCGAGTATTATACGCGATTTCACGGATAATACCCGATTTCGAGTATTCTCTCCGACCTGTCCACACGACACCATCAAATATCTCCCAAAAGATGATTTGGCTGCTGAGTAAAATGTAGAAGGAGTTCAGGGAAGACGGGGCTTTTAGCATAAAAAACATCATTTGTCGACCCCAATTTGACCCCGTGAGGCAAAATCAAAATTCCGAAACCTTACTGCACATCTACATGATAATTTTGTTTGACAATACTTTCTAAAATCCATAGCATCCATAAATAACTACAAAACTATGAATAGGGCATAAAACAAAATCCAGAATTCTGGTTTAAAAATAAAGATATCAATCAGCCAAACTTGTCCATGAAATTTATTAGGACCGTAGATTTCTAAACCAAATTTCTAAAATAGGCATTCCTTTCTGTTGGAAATATAAGTATTCATTAACATATATAGAAATATAGTAAAGAGTGTTCGGCAGTTTTTGTAACGGGTACCTGCTCTAATGCCTGCCTCATCAGGGGTCCAGTGTATTCTTGTGGTAAGCATGATCTAAAAATTATATCATAATCGCCTTTGATTTTGTCTTTGCTATAAGTTTAATTGGTTTTAGGTAAATATTTCTTTGCATCTTGTGTCTGTTTTCGTTTCGTTTCAGTATTTCACGATGCGTTTTTAGTCCGTTGACTCTCGGATTAAATTTTGTAGCCACAACCAATTTATTGTGGGGTCTCAATTGGTCGTTACTTTTATTTAGAATATCATGTCTGTCTGTTCCTATTATTCCTGTGATAATAGGATCCATTTCTGTATCAGAGAAGCCTCCCTTTGACAATGATTACTTAAAGTCTTGTAGAATAATACTGAGGGCAGTGTCATTGGTATTTCTCACATATCTTTTGTATTTACCTTTAAAGAAACCTTTGAACACTGCAGGATTGTGAGAACTCTCTCTGTGTAAATATTGGAAATTGTAATTGTTTGTTGGTTTCATTTAAGATTTGATACCAAGTTTGTTTGATTCTTGAAATTTTCTTCCTTTATACACTTTTGTGTCTAAAATGTTTACTGAATCAACAGAGATTTCAAGGGCGAATTTTAAGTGCGGATGACACAGATTGCCAAGTTCAAAGAAATCAAGAATATCAGTCTCTCATATCCCGATAGATGTTTAAAAATGATACCTTATTTCTTAACTAAACACCATTTTACGTATCTTTGTACATGCCGTTATAGATAAATTCTCTTTACATGGCATGATCAGTTCCCAAGTTACTTGATGTACACATATGACCTCATCGGAAGTAAATTTTAATCAAAATGGCAGACACAGCATAAGAAAATAAAAGCATTTTATATTTCTTAATATTTCATGTTCCTATTAATTTTCTAGAGTTAAAAACCAATATCAGGAACACTTGTGATCTGAAATTGATGTCATCTCACCTACTATTACATCATGATGAATAACTGATTCAGTCAAGGTAGAGAAATGATTTATTACTGTTGAAGTATAATTGAAATTATTAAAGAAAAAACATACTTAGTGGTGGAGTAGGACCATGAAAATTCAAATTTGATAACTCCTAAGCTTGCTCTATCAAAATCCATGAAAAAACTCAAATTGCGTAAAAATTCTTCTCATGCAATTAAAAACGTCCCATTATGGACTTGAAGGGCTTATCTTAACAATAATTCCTTTCAAAATACAAATTATACTAAGAACAAATACGGATCTCTCCTTTGATGGGTCACACCAACCGTGAACTCTCTGTGATGATTAGGTCAACAGAATAATTTTCCGATATTTTAGCCACATCTCTTTCA